CCCCCCCCCCCCCCCCCCCGCGCATCCCGCTTCCTGCTACCCAAGTGTGCACAACGCGATGTTGGCTCTCCGCAAGGTGGTGAAGCGTTTCGAGTACAAGCCGAAGGAGGCTAGGGGTCCCCTCCTTGAGGTCATGCGCGTGACGCTTCCACTGCTGCTCAACATGTCCAACCAGCTCCTCGCCGAGGACTCCAGTGAGGCCGGGCAGGTGGGAGCCACCATGCTAGCCTTGTTAATGATGTTGATGATGTTGATGATGATGCCGCACGCTGGATTTGTTGTTGATGATGATGATGCCCACATGCTGGCCTTGTTGTTGATGTTGATGATGATGCCTCACGCTGACCTTGTTGTTGCTGATATTGATGCCCGCATGCTAACCTTGTTGTTGAATCTAGGGATAGGTGCCTGGTATTGATTCTTGCTTGCAACGTCTCCCCGAAACGTCGTGCAACCCATGGAGCGCACGGCTGGGAGGGGGCATCACAGTATGCATAGAATCGCCACCCCCGAGCCCTTGCCAGTCTTCACACGGGGCACTTTCCGGTTTTTGCCTACAGTGTCAAAGTCTTGTTATTGTGGCGGGGTGTTGACGCTCTGGTGCCTTCGCCTCGTCCCGCCGTTTCGAAACCGCGTCCTGCCGCATCTTCTCTCAAATTTTCTGGGCGACGTGCCATGCAGTCTGGTATTTCAGGACAAAAGTACCTTTTGCGTGATGTGTTTGTTTGTGCCTATGAAATTATTCACGGGCACGCATCGACAACGTTAAGCGGATGACCAACGAAATCAAGCGATCGCCTCGCGGGACCGCAAAAGCGAAAGAAAGCGAAAAGTTTTTGTGCGAGCGGGGGTTCCTGGCAAACAATTTTAATCTGTTGCGTTGTACCAAGAGTGCTCATCCCCGCCCCCCACGCCTGCCTATCCCCCGCCCGGAACATGCCTACCCAGGTGCTGAAAATCGCCCTCAAGGTCTTCTGGTCCTGCACGCAGTTTGCGGTAAGCGTTGGGTCTGCAGCAGCCATATGAAAAGAGGCGTGTTTCTCGCGTCGGACCTTGTTGGAGGCCTAAATTTCGTATACAGCGGTGGTGGGCACGTATTACCGATGATCGACATGCCCCTGTTTTAGCGGCTACAACATCCCGTGACACGACTGCACCCCGACTAGTAGTCGCTCTGCCGGCAATGGCGACCTGCCCTGGATAGCGCCCATATTCCCCCCTGACGCTAAGGTTCGTCGCTTAAACCGGGCCCACCGCTGTTTGACGCTTTGGTCTTGTTAATACTCCTATGTCCTGGTTGGCTGAAAGTGCGAGTGTCGCCAATGCGGTTGGTTTGTGAAAAAAGAGCTTGATGCCATCTCGTGAGATCCCGTTCCTTGTTTCCGAGAAATGGGGGTTTTTGTTTCGTATCACGGGTGCGCGGCATCGACCTTCTGTTTTGGCTTCTGCTATCTATAAGTGCCGTTGAGAGTGCCGCTGATGATCCGCAAAAAAACGGGCGGAGTTGTTCTCTCGTTAAGGAGTAGATACTCCGCTGTTTCTCGCCCTCACGGGCTGGTCCTTTGTTTTTCATCCTTTGTTCGTCCTCCGGTCTTTTCGCGCCCTTCCGGCTGACTCAAACACGCGGCTGCGTCGGAATAAATTTGTTTCTGATGGGTTGGACAGATACCATCAGGGGCAGACTTGGAGGCCCTCAACGTACCCGGATGGATGGACTTGTGCTCAAAGGTGGGGAGGGGAGCTGTGCGATGCTGCGCTGTGCTGCCGTTGGCAACAGGCGGTTGCTGATTTGGTTGTAGTCTGCCGAGAGCAAGCTACTTGGTTGTATCTGCAGAGAGCAAGCGATGTGGGGGAGGAGTGGCGAAGGGTGTAGAACTGTGGTTGTTTATCTCTGCGTCCGTCGTGGGTAAATCGAGCTTCGAAAATCGGTCCAGGCGGTGTAGTATCTTATGCGTCCTACGGTAGTCATCACCGTTCCTCGTGGTTGTCACCATTCCGCTTAGTCATCACCGTTCCGTTTAGTCGTCACCGTTCCGCATGGGCATGGCCGTCGCGGCCGGTCGTCACCGTTCAGCTTAGTCGTCACGGCTTGGTTGTCACCATTATGCTCAGTCGTCACCGCTCCCTTTAGTCGTCACCATTCCGCTTTGTCATCACCGTTCCGTTTAGTCGTCACCGTTCCGCATAGACATGACCGTCCCGGTCGGTCGTCACCGTTCAGCTTAGTCGTCACGGCTTGGTTGTCACAATTATGCTCAGTCGTCACCGCTCCCTTTAGTCGTCACCATTCCGCTTAGTCATCACCGTTCCGTTTAGTCGTCATCGTTCCACATAGTCGTTACCGTCCCGGTCGGTCGTCACCGTTCCGGTCAGTCTTCATGGTAGTGCTCAGTCGTCACAGCAGTCCCGCTTACCCCGCTACGGTCCGCCTTACCCGTTTCCGCTCGTAACGACGCCACCCACTTGTGTTTTATTTTTATTTGCTGTTGCCGACACCATCCGCATGTTTTTTTCCAATTTGCTGTTGGCGACACCATTCAGTATTTCTTTGTCATGTTTGCTGTTGTCGACACCATCCACCCATGCTTCTTCTGTTTCATGTTTGGTGTTCCCTCCAACCGATGACACGATCCCGGCTTGTGTGTGTGTGTGTGTGTTTTTTTTTTTTAGTTTGCTGTTGGCGACACCATCCACTCCATGTTTTTTTCATGTTGCTGTCCCTCCAACAGGTACTCGCGAAACCGCCAGCTGGGCAGCCTGAAGAAGAAGACGACAGGGTCATGTGGCCCTGGTGGAAGGCCAAGAAGGTACTCCTGCAGGCCAACGCGGCACCCTGCCCCTATTAATTGCTCATCTCTCGAGACCCCCGTTTGTTCAACAGTCTAGTCTATTCTCTTCTGTCCGTATCGTCGTAAGGGTTCTTCAATGCCCAAGACAACCAACCAACACCGTTTTGCGAAAAGCAACGAAAGCAACAGCGGCAATCACATCACCACAACGCCCCTTTGTCGTTGCTTGCTTGTACTCCAGTGGGCCGGCAACATCGCGCAAAGGTTCTTCACCCGGTACGGCCAGCCCCACTACGCCGAGGAGAACATGACCGACTTCGCGGAGGCGTTCTCCAAGCAGCTTGCCCCCAAGTTGCTAGAGCAGGTCAGAACATTGCTGAAGGAAAGAGTTTGCGTTTTCCGAGCAGCTTGCCCCCAAGTTGCTAGAGCAGGTTCGAGCATAGCTGTAGGAAAGAGTTTGCGTTTCTTAAGCACAGCTTGCCCCCAAGTTGCTAGAGCAGGTTTGAGCATAGCTGCAGGAAAGAGTTTGCGTTTCCCAAGCAGCTTGCCCCGAAGTTGCGAAGTGTGCTAAAGCAGGTCGGAACACGGCTCTTGAGAAGAGTGTACCTTGTGAGCTCATTCTGTACATGGTGTTCCCTCTTCCGTAAGGTGCTATTTACTATTCACAGCAGATTCGTACACGGCTCTGGAGAAAGGAGTTAAAAATCAGCTTGAGCTGTCTCTGTGCATGGTGTTCCCTGGAGCGGTCTTCCGTGCCCGCCCTCTCTTGAGAAACGAAGTCGCCAGGAAGTATATCTTTTTCTTTGCGGGGGGGGGGGGGGGGGGGGNNGGGGGGGGGGGGGGGGGGGGGGGGGGGGGGGGGGGGGGGGGGGGGGGGGAGGGTTGTGGAATTTTTGCTCAAGGTAGTGCGCTCAGCGGCTGGCGCGACACTGAATCCCCTGTGGTAGCAGCATGTATGCTGTGCTCACGGTGGTGACGCGATCACAAACGTGACGACACAAGTACGCGATCACAATGGTGTTGACACAAGTTCAGAACTCAAGGCTCAGCCTGATGTTGCACTGTTGTTGTAAGCGGGCCGGTAGTACCGTGAAAGACCGAGACGAGAGATGCCCCCCCCCCCCCCCC